ATAGTAGTTACTACGAGTAGTACGTAGTAGTTAGTTAGTAAGTAAAGTAAAGTAACGTAAGGTTAGGTACGGTACGAACGTACGACCCACCTACCTACTAGTGTGTGTGTGTGTGTGTGTGAGAGAGAGAGAGAGAGAGAGAGAGAGAGAGGGAGGGAGGGAGATTTAGAACTTGGTTGTATTTATGAAGAATTCATGGGTTTCATAGGTATCCCTGCTTTATTACCAATGAAAAAGATGTGGAAAAAATGGTTTAATGTCCATATGGTACTAGCTTGAGAGTAAGGCTAACAATATCATTCACAATGTACCAACAACATCTAGAGATCTTTAATGCAAACCAAAAAAATATAAAGCATAGGGATATATCTCAGGATTATAGGAGTTAGAAGATAAAAAAGTGAAGGTATGAAGGCCAAGGGCCCCCCAATGGCAGCCATTTACCAACCTTGTACCAGATTATGATTTACAATGTTAGTGTTTAGCTGTTCTCTTGTAGCTAACATTCATCTTTCAGAAATCCCAGCTACCAAATACTTTGTGCAGTTCTGATGATACTCCCAAGCCTCTCATCATGTCCTTTTCAATCATGCCCCTGCTCCTGTCCTGTGTCTCAACTGGTTTGACCTGGGTCCCAGCCCAAAATCACTCTGCTTTACTAAAAAACCAGGATTCATGATAGAAAATGAGACCAACCAGGTTAAACCAGCTGGTTGAACTGGTGAAAGTTTACATGTACTTATTTTATTCAAACCTTACCAACCAATTGAATCAGAGGTGACAGATTGACCTTACTTTCAAGTTTGACCTTCTGTTTGATGTTTGAAACATTGCCTGAAATTGAATACATTGATTCCACGTCACAAATTAGTAACAGATCCAAAGGCCTCTCATTTCCTCTTTCTATTCAAGAATGTATGTGCTTTTCAAAGCTAGGGGTTTGCCACATTCATCTACTTTGGAAATTGCTTTTTTCAATGTAATTAAGTTGCAGTTATCTGTTTTTATGAACTGTGATGCATTTAGCATTTTTTGTAAGTGTACTAAGAAATAAAAATTGAAATTCTAGTCTTCCATGCATGCCAAAATGCTTACATGTAAACAGAATTGTTACTTGAGTTCCCGCCACTTTTGTATCGGTTGATTCTCCTTTTTATTTAGCTATCTAGAAAGTGGACAATTTGCTTTCTGGAGAAGTATTTTATGAACTGGTGAACTGACCGAGGCTACTGTTCTTGTGGCTATTTTGTTCACTTTCTGGATTATGCATGTTTTATTTGATATTTTTATATTTATCTTATTTTTAGTTGCTAGGGCCCCTGTTATGGCATGAAAAGATACATACTGTTGATTATTCTTTGGAATGACTTTTTTATTCTTCTTTTTATTTAGCTATCTACTGGATAATCTGCTTTTTGGAAAAGTATTTTATGAACTTGAGAACTTCCTTGGCATGGAGAACTTGGAGTCTTGCTCTTTGTACACTATTTGATGCATGTGTTTGGTGTTTCTTGTGACAGACTACTGTTCTTGTGGCTGTTGTGTCCACTTTCTGAATTATGCATGTTTTTGTTTGAGACTAATGTATTTATCTTATTTTTAGTTGCTAGGGCGCCTGTTATGGCATGAAAACATACATACTGTTGATCATTCTTCGGACTCATTTTTGTTTCACCGAGTGTAATAATGTGAATGTCAGATACTATTCAAGAGAAGATACCGAAGACTCTGTAAAATATATAAGTGGAACTATTCTCGATGACCGTCCAATACGTGTTGATTTTGATTGGGGTTTCCAAGAAGGTAGGCAGTGGGGTCGTGGTCGAAGTGGAGGCCAGGTAAGTGTTGAGCTGTGATAATCACTAAGTTTTTTCTATGCGCTTTGGCAATGCATCTCTTGTTTTTAATCACCTGATGAACACAGCCACATCTAATCTGATTGTTACTTATTTGTTTGTAGGTCCGAGATGAGTATCGCACCGATTACGATCCTGATATCCTTTAGAAGTTCTCTATTTGGTTCCACTTTATGAGCTGATTTAATCGTGCTATTCAAATTGTATATATGATTCTGTACTATCTGCCACTGCTTGACGCCATGAATTGCTTTTATACTTTTCTTCTTGGCAAAGTATTGATATATGTCTAAAAGCAGTATCCCTTACTTATTTTTTGTCCATATGATTTATATAATTAATGGGAAAGTATTTCATCTGCATCATGTCGGTGTTGGAAGTATGTGTATAAGCTCGCTTCTAAGTTTCTCTCTATCTACACAGCAGCGGTAGGCCCAAGGCGAGCCCTATTTGTGGTTAGGAGAGAGCGACTCGTAGTATTGGCTATGTGGAGAGAGACTAATAGGATTTGGCTCTGTGTTGCGAGAGAGAGGGCTAGTTTGGTGTGTTAGGGGACATGTGCGAGCAAGCGAGAGAGGCCTATGTTTGTGGCTAGGAAAGAAAGATTGGATTTGATATGTGAGAGAGAGAGAGAGAGAGAGAGAGAAACTTTTATATACATTACTTTTTTGCTTTGAACTAAGCCATATCCAATGGCCAGATATTAAAAAAAATTTATTTTTTATTTTTTATTTAAAAATTTTCTTTACCTGAAATTTGGGACGTAGGTTCATTTTTATAGTGTGCTCCAAATAAAAATTGAATAGAAAAATTGACCAAAATGCCCCCAAAGGTATTTTGGTCATTTTTTATTCAAAATGTTTTTTTTAATATTTTTATCATGTTCGCCATGTCGTGATTTATTTATGCCCCACTTTTATTTCCATAATATTTGTGAAAAATAAAAAATAAAAACAAAATTACCTTGAAGCTCTTAGAAGTGGCTAGTTTCAATCTGAACCGTTGAAGGGTGTTTGTGCAGCATTCAAGTGTCCACATCATGTGGATGCTATAAAATACCATATTTACTTTGGTACTCCTGTAGATATTTTGTTTTGTATTTGTTGTGGTCAATTTGGAAGCTAACTTATTGGGAATGACTCTCCATACCTTGTGCATATCCCATCCCTGTAATTACTTGTCATAAAATGTACCAGATACATGCAATGACGAATCTTGAAATCTACCCTTGATTCTTGATTCATTAATAAGAAGGAAAAATATTTCTAAGTTATATAGTAGATGCAAGGGTCTGCGAAAGCAGTGGATGGGAATGCACAACAATGGGCTGTAGGAATGGTTTTTGCAAGCGGAAGAGTCGGTTCCATCGCATTAAGAAGTCCATGGTGAGGCATCATCAAGGTGAAAGATCAGAAATGAAGCTGAGGAATATGTTTATTTTTTCTGCATTGGATAGAGACACTAGTGACAATGGACACGATATAAAGGGATCATATCTCTGTCATGGCTAATGTCTTGCAAAGTAGGAATTCTTGTTTTATATCAATGTCCAACTGGTGCTTTTGCAGATTGGTCGTGCTCAGTGTTGCAAGAAGTGGCAGGCCATGTACCTAGATGACCACATAAGGTAGGGCACCTGTCTAAGGACCTCACCTACTCCGAGGCGAGCCTCTTAGGTGCCCTGCACCTACATATAATGTGTACGATTTGGGAAGTAAATTGACCTAGATCATGTTAATCGTATTAAGAGTGAGGATCAGAGGGTGATGGTGACAGATGAAGACTATTTTCAGAAATTTTTAAATGATGACCACGTTGGGAGCTTAGCATTAGGAGGAACCATTGACATAAATGAGGTCCGAGGCACGTAGATACTTTCGTAGGATTAGGATATCTGAAGTGGAAGGAGCTTTGAGAAAGATGAGGATAGGAAAGGCTTAGGGCCAGATGGTATGCTAATAGAGGTTTGGAAGTGCATGGGAGAGATTCGCATATTTTGGTTGACCATGTTATTCAACATGATTTTGAGAGCAAAGAAAATGCCAAATAAATGGAGGAAAAGTATTGTTATACCTATTTATAAAAGAAAGGACATATAGAATTGTACGAACTATCAAGGAATCAAACTTATGAGCCATTCTATGAAACTGTGAGATTGAGCAACGACTAAGACATGAAATGTGTATCAAAAACTTAGTTTGGATTTATGCCAGGGAGGTCAACCATTGACATTTTTTTGCCTCTTTAGGCAATTAATTAAGAAGTTTAGGGAGAATAGAAAAGACATTGACTTGATCTTTATTGATTTAGAGAAAACATATCATAAAGTACCTAAAGAGATAATTTGGTCGGTGATGGAAAAGAAAGTAGTCTTAAAGGGATATATTGATATGGTTAAGGATATGTATGAGGGAGCGGTCAACTAGTAGAGAAACAAGTAAGTTTTCAGTGATAGTAGGCCTGTATCAGGTGTCACTGTTGCTCCTATACCTCTACTTTAGTTATAAACGAGTTAACTAGCCATTTACAAGATGAGGTCCCGTGGTGCATGTTGCTTGTGGATGATATAGTTTTGATTGATGAGACTTGAGACCGCGTAAATACAAAGTTAGAAATTTGGAGAGATGCTTTAGGTGTTAAAATTAGCCAGGCTAAGGCATAAATGGAATGCAAGTTTAGTAATAATAGGAGCAGAAACTGGAACTAATGAAGATTGAAGTCCAAGAAGTACTAGAGCGATTATTTTTGGATACCCTATATCGAGAATCCCTATGCTTCTGGAGTCTTATGTGATCTTCGCATACTAATGAAATTGAAAGGGCAGTTATATAGGACGGTTGTACAGCTGTAAGACCGAACATGCCTTATGGGGCGAAATTTTGGGTGGTCAAGAAACAACATATCCATAGAATGAGTGTAGTTGCGATGGATAAGTAACAAGACAATGAAGGTTAGAATTAGGAATGAATATATTCGAGAGGACTTAAGAGTATCTCTAATGGGCAATAAAATGAGGGAAAGTACACTTAGGTGGTCTGGTCATGTGCAGTATAAACCTAAAACCACACCTATGAGGAGGGGTGTTTTGGTTCAACTAGAAGGCTCTAAAAGGGAAAAAGGAAGGACCCAAGGGGCATAGATAGAAGTAGTGAAAAAATATATGATGACTTATGGTCTGACCGAGGGTATGACCCTTGGTAAAGCGAGATGATGGCCGACCCCGAATAGTTGGGATAAAGCTCGAATGATGATGGATATGATATATGTATATTTATGAAGAAAACCTTCTTCTTTTGTTTTAAAAATAAGAAGAGGACATTCCTTATAGAGAAGACCTCTCTCTATTGTTGCTATGAGAATTTGCGACATTAAAACTTCCTATCAAGGTAGGTTGCGTTGGTCTAATAGGGGTGAGGACCGTAAATTTTCCCTTAACCTGTCCCAACCCCAGGTAAAGGAGTTGGGTTGTGTTAGGTGGCAGCCAGCGTAAAATTTTACCACATCTTATCATGAATATTGAACCTATGCTTTTGGACTTACTAAAGGTATGACCCTTGATAGAGAAGAATAGATGAATAAAATTCATGTGGCCGACTCCAAATAGTCGGGATAAGGCTTGGATGACAATGATGATGAAACTTCTTAACAAGGTTTTATAAGATTTGTAAACTGGTTTTTGATAAAATTAGTGTCAAATTGAGGAGCGTTGAAATCCCTAATGATTTGATGGTAAAAATCAGAAAGAAGCTGTAGTTTTAGAAGATCATCGAGAGTGCAAATCGGAGATATTAAGGCAGTTTTATTGGGATGGTTGTACCTAGGAGATATTAAGGCAGTTTTATTGGGATGGTTGTACCTAGGAGTGTGCTTGCTGGGAACGATTGCATCTTGGGAACTTTTCCTGGTTGGGGCATTTAACAGTTCGAAGAAAGTGAGATGAGGTCATATTGGGCCTCCGGGTTCCTTGTATTTATGTTGTATTAAAGTTTAAATCTCTCCCTATAACTCTGAACCCAAATCCTTGGGGTTTAATTGAACTAAAGAGTATTCTTTTCCCTATAACTCTCAACCCAAACCTAAACCCTCAGGGTTTACTTAGGGCAAGAGTATTCCTGAAATATAAATTGACAATTGACTTCAGTCAATGAGAGATTCTGCCAGAATTTTGTTACAAGTGAATCTGAAAACCAACGGATATTTGTTTGGATTGCACATGTTGTATAGATGTTCATCTTGGGTGCCTCACCCCCCTCAACACCCCACCATGAGCCCAAAGGAAGTAAGTATTGAAACTTGGCAGAATCCAGATGAGGATTGCATTGTAGCTTGGTTGCAATGTTAGGGGCAAGGCTGAGTAGAAAACCGATATCAAGGAAACAGAAGTGTTTCCAGTTGCTTCATAGTCTGAATTACGTATTTAATGTTTATATTGTGCACATGCATATATGTGTGCACATTTATATGGATGCAAATTCTATCCCGATATAGTAAAATCTTTTGACTTCCGGTAAGTTGGTCCAATTGAGGAAAGAGAACGAGCTTTGACAGAAGTTGATCACCAGTGGCACTGTTTTTGTAGGATTTTAGAACTTCTAAAGTTGTAGTAGACATAGATTGATTTGTAGCTCACTGTGTAAGATATAAGAGAAAAGCCATGCTTATCTTTGGCTGTTTTGTGCTTTTTCTTCTTTCCTTTTTCCCAATCATTTCTTCAAGATGAAATGCCTTGTTTTGCTATTTGTAATGGCTTTTTCTTCTCTCATTTTTGAAATAAACTTGCATTTCATTGGAAGTGTTCTGCAACATGGAAGTGATAGTTTTAGGAAAATCTTAAAGAGTTCTAGCATAGAGAATTATCTGTATATGCCCATCTTCTGCAAGTTGCAAAGCAAAGCGAAGCACCCTGTTCCCAAAATGTATTTCATTTAACAAGGTGCAAAACAAAGGCTGCTATAAACGTCCCTCTAAAATTCTAGAAACTTTTTGTTTTTTTTTTGACGATAAAGGAATTTGGGGTATAATGTTGCTGTTCAAAATTCTCGATCCATCAATCATTTGAACTTCCTGAATTCCAGATTTTGTTTTCTTTATATTTTCATACTGTAGCACAGCCTGAATTACCTGTACTGAACTTCACATTATGTGATATGTTTGATTATTGAAGGCGACCTTCATTCTAATAGTTAAAAAAACATCATCTTTTTCAAGATTCTTCGTACTTCATCGAAGCCTTTGGTTGGATCCTGTACGTTTTGATACCATAATAACTTAGTGAGGTTAGAGAAAGAAATAGAAAAGGAATCAATGAAGTGATGAGACGTAATAAAGAAAATTTAGTGCTATCTATGCAATTCTGAGTAGGAAAAGAAAAGGCATTTTATGAAGTGATTATACATAATAGAAAAGATTTAATGCTACCCATGGAACTATATGAAGTGAAAGGACCTCGATATTCTTGTCAATGTGACAAAGAAATAGGGAGATACTTCTATGTTGATCGCAATGAAGGCAAATAACTTGGATGTCGGCTTATTTGAATTTTACGATTAGAAGGAAATGAATACAAGGCTTGTTGCTTAGCATCAAGTTTGGGATCTGCACAATTGTTGTCGGAAGGTTTTGCTGAATCATGTAGTTTTCATCCATTCTGATGGTGTCATTTTTTATGGAGAATTTTACAATTTATTGTTTCATTTTAGTCAGCTTGTCTCATCTTTTCAGTCCATTATTATCTTGATTCTCCTGCACATCTCATGTTGTTTAGATAACCTTCATTCATTAGAATTTGTTGTTACTCTATGATTTTCTTGACAATCATCACATAGAGGAGGTTATGGAAAATTAGTACAGAGGGAGCTCGAGGCACAGAGGCAGTTGGTAGATTATGGTGCAGGATCTTTGGGCTCCTTTCAAACAGCTATCCCTTCTTGTAAGTTTTAGCAGAAATTACTCTTAATGGTCCTTTAGTGTTTACAAGAACTTCTAAGTTTTTATAAATAATTTTCTTTGCTGAGTTACTTGTTTCTGGAAACAAGGGTGTACAAGGCTTAGGTCACAACTCACAAGCAGTCGTGATAGTACCAAAAAGATAAAACTAAAAAGCAGGATGAAAGCCTGAACACAAGTCTGGTCTAGAACTTTTGAGTTGGGCCTCTTATACAGCCTTGTCACTTCTCTCTGTCTCTGGGTGTTCATATATTCTTCTGTTAATCAATCATCTGCTTTTACTTATTGGGAAACCGTGCTGTTATGTAGGCAACACACACACGTCCCCCCCTCACACACACATGCACAATGTGCCTACCCACTGTTCCTGTATTTTTCCTTCCTATTTGAAGGTTACATTTATTGACTAGCTTTGGTTACACCATAAAGCCTTGCAGCTGCACCTGCTTTCCATCCTTTTTCATGGAAGAGGACCGGAACAAGGTCCAGATTCCTGCAAATTGCTCTCCGATAAAAAAAAACTGATATGCAGCTCCTGAATAGCTCCAAATCTCATGGATCTACCATCCAATGGAATGGGTGGATTACATCAGATTTTGGGATAGCATGGAGATAGAGCATTTTTGGAGGTCCAAGTCCACCTTTTTTTTCTCTCTTTTTTCCCCCTCTCTAATTATCTTCAAGAGATTGGATGTGGGAGGAAAGGGATTTTGGACCTTTATGGTGCCTTCCTCTTTGAAAAACATGGTGAAATGACGGCTCAATTACATTATTATGGGTATAACCACGGCCTCCTAAAATCATTTTCCTTTCTTGAATGTAGTGGACTGTTGGAAAACATTTCCATCCATCATTGGATTTTTGTGCACAAGGATTTAAAGGTATGATTAAACTTTAAAAATGTGATTAACATTTTAATATGAACTTCTATTTCTTTGAGAAAATCACAAGTCATGGACTTCTTTTTATTTTTTTTATCCTAAATATCCTAAAAACTAGTTCATGTGGCTCTTCTACGTTTTTGTATCATTTGATCAATTAGAATGTAGTTCACGGATGACAGTTTTGATCGATGAGACCCGAAACGGCCAAGAAATAATAGGAGTAGAGACGAAGAGTAATTGAGGTTGACGGCCAAAAAATACCAAAAGGAGCGTGCTTTCGATAATCCAAGAAGATGGAGATATTGAGGAAGTTGTCGCACATAGAATTAGAGCTAGTTGGGCAAAATGGAGATATGCAATCAGAATTTTATGTGATCGCCTCCTACCAATGAAGCTGAAGGGTAAGTTCTACAGAACAATTGTAAGATCAACTTTACTTTATGGGGCAGAATGTCGGGCAGTCAAGAGACAACATACCCATGGAATGAGTGTAGTTGAGATGAGTATGTTGAAACGGATGAGTGGAAAGACAAGAAGGGATAGAATTTGAAACAGATATATTCAGGAGAATTTTGGTGTGGCACCAGTAATAGGCCATACGATGAGAGAAAGTAGATAGGTGGCCTAGCCCTATGTGGCACAGACCCAGTACAACACCTGTTAGGAGGTGCGAGTTAGTTCAAGTGGAAGGCTCAAAAAGAGCAAGAAGTAGGCCCAAAAGGACATGGTTGGAAGTAATGAGAAATGATATAAGGATTTATGGCCTCACTGAGGGTATGGCCCTTAATAGAATAGAATGGCCGACCAATATTATGTATCCGAACCCAATTAGTTGGGAAAAGGCTTCGATGATGATGATGATCAATTAGAATGTAGTCTTTTGGGGACAAGGCCTTCCTTGGTACTTGCAACTGTCGCTTATCAGTTCTATTTTAGGGGTCCTAATATAATATTTTCCAAGGGTGCTCCACAAAAAATTTCCTCCTAAGCTCCAAAACTACACTGAGGAGTATACTTGAATCCATCTCATGAATTTGAAGTTACCCTAAGTGATACTTGACCAAGCAAATTGATGGTTAATACTCACTCTTTATAAAAAATTAAAGAAAAATAAAAATAAAAATACCTCATCTACCGAGGAAGAAAAAAAGAAAAAGAAATCAACTGCCAAGGTTTTTACCCTGGGCTGTGTTGAATCCATACCTCCTAACGGTCCCTCAAAACAATTCGGAGCTTCCCCTTGTATTGGAAATAATACCTTTAGAACTGGCTAGAATCTGACTATCCTTTGTACACCAGACTAGAAATAGTATGTCAACCAGAGCATTATATGAATTTGTTGGAACCCGACTAGCCTTTGTACAGACTAGAGATAACACTTGGCACTGGGGCATTATATTATTTTTGTTGTGGATCATGTGATCAATCATAGGGAATCACAATTTAGTATGAAGTTGAATTCCATTGGTGGTTATAATGACCTGGTGGAAGACAACTTTCCTATTTATTGACTGCTATTGCCTTCTTTAGTTATAGAAAACCATCTTTTGAGTGCAACGTTTTCCTGGATTTCCCTATCTGAACCTGACCTTTTAGAACCCATCAAGTATTATTGATTTATGTATCTGTCAATTTTCTAGTAGAATTTCTTCTGCATCATATTTTGCTATGTCGGGTCTTGTACCAATTGTGATACTAGTGTGCTTACTTATCTCTGTAATGGATGTTGTAGATGGTAGACATGGTGGAGACGATCATGGCAATTCACATCGCTATCATAGGGGTATACACATGTTTTACTGTTCTTTCTTGGTCTTGGTGATATATGCGTGCGTGTGCATGCATTTGTGTGTGTGTGTGTGTGTTTTTAACAATCCCTGTACTTTAGAGTTTAGATTTACATGCATAACCAGGCAGATGTATGGTTTATGACATGTTCTTTACTGCTATCAGATTCCGGTCGTAAAAGGCATCGGGAAGATGATCGACCTGCTCCTGAGATATCCAAGAGAACATCTGACAGAACATCCGACCAAGATTCTAGGCTGGTAATAGTTTTATCTTAATTTTTCCCTTTTGTAGAATTGTGTTGGTGTGAGTCCTCAACTTCCAACATTTCAAATGTGTAGGAGAAGAATCCCCGTTTCCGAGAGAGCGGAGACTCAGATGATGATGATGACGACCGTGGTCGACGGCGTTAAGGCACTTCTAGTAGCGTTATTTTATTTTATTTTTTGTATGATTAAAGGTACATTTTGTTTTGGTCTCTTTTTCTTGTTTACTTCTACATTGATTGATGAGCATCTCCTAATTTTGAACAGAAGATTTTTATAGACCTCTGGATGTGAGAAATTGAGCATCAGTTGAACACTCAGTTGACTAAAATGCCACTGTTTTAGATTGAACAATTGAAAATAAGAAAATTGATGACCTTTTTTTTCCTTTGAATGTTAAACTGTTATTGGTGGGTTGGCAATCTTTCGAGTAGATTTGAAATAAGATACCTACTCAGTAACATAGACACAGGTTTAGTGGGTTGAGGCTAAAGGAATGGCACGAACCATAATTATCATTTTCCTGGTTTGGATATGCAGCCGGACGTATTTAAGGTACTTGGCTCTTTAACAAAAGTCGGTGCCAAACCGTTAGAAATATCAGTTTGGGTATGGGAGGTCAAAGGTTCAGCCTAGAAATTTGTACTTACCCAAAAAAAAAAAAGCCCTAGAAATTTGTCCCAAAAAGCCTGAACAAACCAAGCCATTTCTTTAAAGCTGGTTATGTATTGCCATAGCAATCAGTAATTCAGTATTCTAATTAATACTGCTGCAAGGTCTTAAGGGTATGATATTAATGGAGGTAGCATAATTTATTAAATGATCATTAACTTCCTTTAATGGGAGCTTTCCATGCTGACATACAAATTCATTGCATTCTAATGAAGCCTCTTTCGATTCCCAGAAATAGCAAGGAAACCATTAATAAGTATTTCCTTTTTCCTTTGTCCATTTTTGGTATCTTCTATAGAGAAAATACCAGGTTATAATTTACTGCGGTTCTTCTCATTCAAAGAAATTGCCAGAACACTATTCATTAGTATTTTTATTCGTGCTCAGTTGGGCGGGCGGTGACTTTGGAAATCTTTGATAGCTCACTGATAATCAACAATTGAACCACTCAAAGGACAAAAACTTATGCATTTGGGTGATTCAGAAGTTGGACTTTTGTATGGTCTAACATTTTTCTTCAAGTGGTTCAAAAGTTAGTCTTTCGAATTACCCAAATACATTTTGTGTTGCTTGGTTAAAAAGTTAAACTTTCATGCCGCTTAAAGGCCTGTTTTGGGTGGTTTTGAAGTTGGACTTTCAAATATATATTAGAATTTTTGTGTTTTTGGGTCTTTTAAACTAGTGGGAACTAAAAAAATTCGAGGTAGTCGGTACTTAGATCTCTACTTTTGTTTTCCCTAGTCGGTACTTAGATCTCTACTTTTGTTTTTGAGAAAAGTCTGCAATATCATGTTTCTCTTTTTCATAGGAAATTTATAAGATAATTATTGGGACTTCAAAATATCCAATTTATGCATTATTGATTATGAGGTAATTGTTTAATTGCATTTGTAAATATGAACTCAATATATATATATATACATATATATGCAATTAAATATATAATTATAAACATTTTGAAAAGTTCATAATAACTTTTAGGGAAATGACCTTGTGAGACCCTCCCACACGCATGTGTGTAGGACTTCAAAGGATTACAATTATATTTGGCAAAGATCTTTAGGAAAGTCAAGTCCCACATCCCACCCATGTCATAACTTTTCTAGAGATCTGTGTTAAATTTAATGGTGATCCCTTGGAATCCTACACACATGGGTGTGGGAGGATCTCATAGGATCATTACTCTAACTTTTAATAGATAAAGGATATAAAAAGATCATTTACCTTAGGTACAAGGTGGTCACAATTAATCTTGACGATTGGATCTGAAATTAGGCTGCTGCATTTATTTCATTGACTAAGTTCAAAGTTCAAAAGAAATTTTTTCAAACTTTGTGACACACCCAAGTTATTCGATTTAACACCGAATGGATGTATGTAATTGTGATCTCCGTGTACCAAACCATATAAATGTGAAATTGGGGCCCATGTCATTTCAGGACTCCATTTAAGACTGGTTAACTTAATGGGCTGGGCTTAGGTCTTAGTATAAGCTTCGACTGACCTAGTTAGATAATATTTTGCTTTGAAGGCCCAGCCCTCCATGGGCTGGATATGAGCCCTTTATAGGGCCGTCTAGCTGGGCATGGCCATTAGATTGTTTTTTTAGATTGTTTTTTTATAAAATTAATCAGTATAAAAAAAATAAGTGCCGATGGAAAACCTTCCATCGGCACTTATTTGTTTAGATTGTTTTTATAGGGCCCGTCTAGGCATGGCTTTTAGTTTGTTTTTTTAAGTATAAAAAATAAGTATTAAAAAAAAAAAACTTTTAAATATAGGAAAAGTATATATAAGGTTGCAACCTTATACTACATAAATAAGTGCCGATGGAAAACCTTCCAATTGATCATCTCAAATTCGAGATGCATGGATATAGAGAAAAAAAGAATTTCAAGTCCTAAAAATAATACATTTTGTAACAATTTAGTCCATCTATTTTGAAAAATTTTCAAGTGTTTATGAATCTACACCTTTTTTTTTGAAATTTTAAATTTTATAATTAGGGTTAAACCCATTGTAACGTTTCCAATACCGGAACTACATCTTCCCGCAAAATTTAAAGATGTCTCTTACTTATATAGTATTTACTTATATAGTATAAAGTGGGCACCTTATACAAACCTCGCCCGACTCTTTTAGCTTTTGCACTAGAGAGAGGTTATCAAAAGAGCCCAGACACCTACATAAACGGCCCAATCAGGTAAAGTTGGGGAACAATAAAGGATTATGACTGTTAAGCTCCAAGCCGTGGGACCTTATATCAATATGAAATCTAGAAACAAAGGTCAATTCCAAACACGAGATTGTCTCTGCAAGTTTTCTTTTCTCATAATCGACTCAACTTAAATCGAAAGCAATATTGTTCACTAGTTGACTTTAGGGTTTGGTAACTTGCAAGGAAACTATGATAGAGATTTTTTCATTTTATTTTTTTTAATGTTAACTATGATAGAAATCTCATTCATCAACATTGACTAAAATTCAAATTTTAATTGTAATTAGGACTCCATCTGGGAAAAGAGTACCGCATAGTAGAAGAATTCCACTAACATACAATAGAAAAGATAGATAATCTACTGAAACTCAGAAGCCATTCGGGAAACATGTTATTTCCTGAATGTTCTATGAATTAATTGTAGCTTATATAAGGTACTTTTAAATCTTATTAAGACGTGGTTTGCTGTCGGAAACCCTGATAATGACCTAAAATCCACTTTTACCCCTAACTATAAAATTTAAAAGCTTAAAAAATGGTGTAAAGCTTAAAGATGCGGTAGATGAGTTGGTGTGGGAGATTGAGAGTGATGGCATTTTCTGTCTTGCTACGATTTTTTATTCCATGATCGTTATAGATGGTCCTTCTCGGAGATTGTTCAAAATCTGGAAATGGCATATTCCCCATAAAGTTCAAATCTTTATTCATAAGATCGTAACTATAGACAACCTTATGAAGAGTGGTAAAATTCTGCCTAATATTTGTTTACTTTGTAAACAAGGTAGTGAATCTGTTGCACACTTGATCTCTCTTCCCTTTTTACCTAAAACTGGGAGAGTTATTTGGAAGATTGCCATAGGTATGCTGATGTGGGAAGTTTGGAAAGAGAGAAATAGAAGAATATTTGAAGGTCTAGCTTTGCCCCCCCAAAAGGTGATTCAGTTAATTAAGCAATCGATCTGGTCTTGCCTTTCTATGACCAAGGAGGGTTGCCTTAAGATTAATTTTGATGGTAGTTCTTTGGGTAGCCCAGATCCGACTGGCATTAGGTGTGTTATACATGATTGTTTTGGGAACACTATTCTATCCTATACATGATCGATTGGTATGGCAACTTCAAATTTTGTAAAGATGAGTGCTTTACTTAGAGGGTTGCTTATTTTCATACACCATAACCTGGGCACCACTTGTCGTATCGAAGGCGATTCATTAAACGTTATAAGATGGTGTAGAAAGGAGCAGTCCGTTCCTTGGGAAATTCGACCTTTGTGGCTATAGATTATGGATGTTTCATAATCTTTAATTGTTATTTTGTCCCATGTTTTTCGATAGGCTAATGGGGTCGCTGATGTTTTGGCTAAAAGGGGTGTTGGGCTTGATTCTCATACGATTTCTTTTGACGTAATTTCTTTTTAGCCTATCAATAAAGTTTTGAACACTGGTCAAAAAAAAACAAAATGGTGTGGATTGTGCAGATCTATAAACTCTTAAATTTTTTAAAAATTGACAGTCTAGATAATGTGTTACGCAATGCAATACTTTTAGGATTTTGAAATCTCTTTTTTCTTTCATATCCATGTATCTTAAGTTGAAATGATCAATTGTAGGGTATTTCAATATCAAAACAACCTTTTTCAAGGAGATTTTTGAGGTGTACATTACTTCTATAGTATAAAGTTAACCCCTTATATAAACTTTTTCCCTTTGTTATATGCACTCATATTAGTCACAATTTATATAGAGCAAGCTTTCTATGTTTCCCCTACAACATAGAAGTTCTATCATCCCTTTTATCCAACTGTCCATTCTGAATGGAGGGTTAAGATTGCCCCAATCACAATGTCACGTCTCTATACTATTTTATTTTTAATTTTTTTCTATAAACTATTTTTTAAAAAAAATTTGGACGTCCATTCCTCTATTAAACTCGCGCTAGAAAAAAATATTTTCAATAAAATAAAATGACTAAAATACCCTTGAAATGTTTAGGGGTATTTTAGTCATTATATTTTTATCAAAAATTATTTTACATTTTTTTATTGGTGCGCCCCAATGAGAAGATGACACGTGCCAATTTTTATATTCATGAAATTTGCATAAAAAAATTAAAAATAAAATACTTTGAGACATCGGATCTAAGATCAAATGGTAAGTGACTCTCTTGATCAAAATTGGACGGTTGGATGGTAGGGGGAGGATAGAACTTCTATGCTGTATGGAAAACATAGAAACCTTTCCCATTTATATAACTCCCGAAATAAAGACTAATGTGATTTTATCGGGGAATATATATTTTTATTTTCTTCTTTTCACCCCTTTTCTTTTCTTTTGACAAAGATTACAACAAATAGTCTTGCTACAATAACTATTGCTTCACATAAAATAAAACTAACAAATCCAAGATCTTAAAAACCTTACTGCTACTTTTTTATATTTTATAATATAAAGATTAAATTGTAAAAATAAAATGGAGAGTACCAGATATTACTTTAATCGGGCTT